ACTGGAGATCAAACTCAGGACCTCTAAGCTAAATCCCTGGCCCTTGCCTTACTCTTTAGGGAAAAGACTGTACAAGGGCATAAATACCAGCAAGCAGAATCCATTGGAAGCCTTTGTGGAGACTGGCTACCACAGGGGACAATAGAAGGGTTTTAAGTCATTGTTGATTCTTTTGATCATTTAACAAATATCTTCTCTGTCCCTGCCCCTGTGCTGGGTGGTATTGAGATCCAGTAGTGAGCAAGACAGGCTTGGCCCTTCCTTCCTGGGGCTTAGAGGCCAGAGGGGGAGGCAGACCTGTTGTCACACACTGATGATCAAAGGTGGGCAGGTCTAGGATGACCTGGGGTCTGTAAGAGCTTAAAGGGGCACCTGCTCCGCCCGCTGAGTCAGGAGAGTGATGCTGAGGTGAGACCTGCAGAGAGCCGGGACTCTGGGACTCAGTCCACAGAGCCTCACCGCACTGCTGCTTCCTGTCAGGCCGCGCGCGCACCTTCGCCATGGGCCGGTACCTTGAATGTATTTCCTGCACATCATCGGACTTGAGCTGCGAGAGGGGCCGGGAGCAGAGCCTGCAGTGTCGCCACCCCAGAGAGCAGTGCCTCGAGGTGGTCACCCACAGCAGCCTGGAAGGTAAGTCCCAACTAGCCAGCGGCTCCTCCTCTCTGCTGGGCTCCTCCCCAGGGCTGCACTTAACAGAGCCCGCCCCCCGCATAACAGGGATTCAAACAAGGGATTTAATTTGTTCGCACATTCAAAATCCAGTGACCAGAAGTCCAGGGCTGCTAGGACAGTTCCAGCGTCACCAGTGGCCCAGATACCTCCTCATTTCTTATGTAGCACGTCCATTCTTGACTGCCTCATAGACCAATATAACCACCAGAGTGCCAGGCCTCGCATCCAACTTCCGGGAAGGAATAAGGGGCCAAAAAAGGAGTGGAAGAGAGGAGCCCTTCTTTTGTAAGAATTCTCTTCCTGGGAAGTCCCGGAAAACACTTCCATTTATAGCACATTGGCCACAAATTCATCACCTGACTACCTAGACTTAGAGAGGCTGGAAAATGTAGTAACCCTTTGGCTAGATATACGGCTACCCTAAATAAAATGGGGTTCCTGGGGGGGAGGGTGAAGCAGAGCCCGTCATCTGTGATGTGACCCCGAACTCCCTCCTTTGGTGACAGAGAACGAGATGGAGGAGCACCACACCCGAGGCTGCGGCTTCCTCCCGGGTTGCCCAGGCCCCACCGGCTTCCACAGCAACCACAGCTTCCACTACCTGCGGTGCTGTAACAGCACCAAATGCAACAGTGGTCCAGGTAAGGGGCAAGGACCAGCGTGAGACCGCCTCGCACTGCCCCTCTCTGAGAGTCTTTGGGGGTGGTGTGGGGTGCAATGCTGGGGGTGAAACCCGGGGTCTCTTGCATGCAGGGCCAGGTATTCTACTGCTAAGTCACACCTCCAGCCCTTATTTTTAAAAATACCGAGGCCAGGGATTCAGCTCAGTGGCACTGCACCTGCCTTGTAAGCACAGGGTCCTGAGTTTGATCCCCGGTACCACCCCCCCAAAAAAAACAAAAAGACCAATCTGATCGTGTTACTGTCCTCACTTAAGCACTGCGATGGCTCCCCCTTCCTCTCTGAATCAAATCCAGAGGTCTTGCTATGACCTGTGTAATGTGGGATCTGCCAAACTCCACCCTCCCTCATGGCTTGTGCACCACCCTGCCCCTGGAGCCCGTCTGGCCGGGAGCCCACTTGCCCAGCCACTGGTCCCCCATGGTGCCTCGGCCTTATCAATCAGCCTTGCACTGCGCCGCTTCCCTGGTGTGCTGCGGCCCCCTCCTGTGACTCTGTCTCAGGAGTGACAGAAGGTTCTGTATCAGTGCAGTCCAGTATGGTAGCCGTTACTGGAGCACTTGAAATTCAAACTGAATCTCAGCGTGGTGGTGCAGGACTGTAATCTCAGCACCCTTAGAAGGCTGAGGGCAGCAGGATCTCAAGTTCTAGCCCAGCCTGGGCAACTTAGTGACTTTGGAAGATCCTGGCTAAAAATGAAAATAAATAAATAAGAAAGCCCTGGGTTCAACCCCTAGTACCCGCCCTCCAAAAAAAGTGAACTAGGGCCTGAACTAGGGCCGGGGATTTAGCCCAGTGGTTCTGCCTCCTGCCTTGCAATTGCAAGGTATGGAGTTTGATCCCTGGTACCCTCCCAACAACAGTGAACTGAATTTTAAAATTATATTTAATGCTAATTAAGGTAAATTTAAACAAATATATGTGGCCCGCGGCTGCCCTATTGGATAGTGTCACACTAAACTCTAAGTTCTGAGAGGGAAAGACTGTTTGGGAGGCACATAGCTGATTACCCAGGGCCCAGTGCAACACCTGGGCAGTTGAGGGCTCCTGGGGGGTCAGAGCTGGGGTGTCTGGCCTAACACCCTGGAAAATGTCCAGAAAGAAAGTGCTGTTCAAATGCCTGGCCACAAGGTGGCTCTGTGATGTGTTGGGCTGCTATCCGGGAGTCCTGAGGAGGGAATGCCCCCCAAGACCAATGTGCCAATTTCTCTGTCTCTTGTGTTTGAAGTCATAGAGCTCCAACACCTGCCACCGAATGGTGTCCAGTGTTACAGCTGTGAGGGGAACGGTACCCATGGGTGCTCCTCCAGTGAGAGCTCCCTGGTCAGCTGCCGAGGCCCCATGGACCGCTGTCTCCAAGCCACAGGCGTTAAAGGTGAGGCCCTTCCAGAGGCTTTCAGGGGACACTTTCTGAGGATGATGGGGCTTCATAGCTGGTTGACTTCCAGTTAAGCTGGATTTAAACTGAGGTGGCTTTTCTAATAGGAAAGGTGGGACTTCCTTTAAGAGGGCACAAGCTCTAACAAGGAATTAGGGCTTGTTCATTAGGAACTGGACATTTATGCCCCAGTGGTGTGGACCTCTTTGGGGGGTGACATTTCCTGAAGGTGAGACTTCCTGTGGATATTCAGGGCATTCATCTTGAAGTGCCTGGATTCCAGGGTTCTCAGACATTTTGGTCTCAAGACTTCTTCATGCCAGGCATGGTGGCACACATCTGTAATCCCAGCACTTAGGGAGGCTGAGGCAGGAGGATCACAAGTTGTAGCCCAGCATGGGTAGCTTAGCAGAATCTGTCTCACAATTTAAAAAAAAACAAAAAAACAAAAAAACAGGGCTGGGGACTTAGCTCAGTGGTGCCACCACCTGCCTTGCAATCACAAGGTCCTGAGTTTGGATCCCCAGTGCAAAACAAAAACAAAACAAAAAAAGGGACGGGGAGGTAGCTCAGCGCAAAGGCCTTGGGTTTAATCTCCAGTACTTCCAAAAAATATTAAAAAATAGTTTTTCACACTCTCAAAAATTATTGTTTGTGTCAGTTACAGCTATAAATATGTACTGCAATAGAAATTAAAACTGAGAAAGAATTTTAAGGTTTATTGATAAATTAATGTAAATTTGTCTAATTTATATTGATTTATTAAAATAACAACAAAAACTCATTATAGAATAACATAATAACTCATGGGTGTGTGTGTGTGCGTGTGCGTGTGTGTGTTTATGATACTGGACCCAGGGCCTCATACATGCTAGGCAAGCACTCTACCTCTTAGCTGTGGTTCCAGCCCACAAATAACGTTCTTAAATGAACATGGTTATATGACTGGCATTGTTTAACTGTGTTACAGATCTCTTTAATGTCTGGTTGAACAGAAGACAGCTGTTCCTCATCTCTGTTTCTGTGTTCAGTTAGTTGTAATATCACATGTCCTGGAGTTTCTGGGAAACTCCCTTGTAGACTTGTGAGCATGAAAAAGCCAGATTCTGTAGTAGCATTTTTCTGGTTTTTTGGTACTGGGAATCAAATTCACGTCCTGGCGCCTGCGAGGCAGGTGGCAGCACCACTGAGCTAAATCCTCAGCCCTGTGGTAGCATTTTTCTGAGAATCATTTTGACTTCACAGATTCCTGGAAGGAGTCCGAGGAGCCCCCAACCCTGGGGTCCCTAGATCACCCTTTAAGAACTGCTGCTTTCTCCAGGTAGCAGCAGAAGTGGGACCCATCACGAAGCACTTTGTCACCCACTGGAGAATCCCAGGCCCCAGAGCCTCTGGTCTCACTCAATCTTCTTCTTCCTCAGGGCCGGGGAATATGAATTTCACAGTGAGGGGCTGTGCAACTGCCTCCTGGTGCCAAGACTCCCACATGGCCGACACCTTCAGCCTGACCCATCTCAGTGTCTCGTGCTGTAAGGGCACTGGCTGTAACAACCCAGCCAGCAACGTCCAGTACCGCAGTGGGGGCACCTCCCAGTCTGGCCCTGATGCCCTCAGCCTTGTCAGCACTCTGCTTGTGATCATAAGGCTGTGGGGAGGCGTTCTCCTCTGGATTTGAACCCCAATCCCTCCACCCTGGCTGGACTCAGGGGACCCCTTTTTTCCTGTCCTCAACTCCTGTTCCTGCAGACTTGTGCCAGTGTGCTGTCCTCTCTGAGTCACAGTTTCCCCAATTGTGAGACTTTGTTTCACCAAGTGATCCTGAAGGCTGGAGAAGAAAAGCTGGAGAAAAGCTGTGGGTCAGCAAGAAAGCTCTTGGTTTTATTAATATTGTTGCCACTCTTGTTATTGTTATTATTAATATCATATTTATTTTATATGTAAATAAAAATTTTTATACTAGTGGACTTCACCCTAAGCTGCCTCCACATCTATTTCTGGCCTCCAAATACAAACTTCTAATTTGCCCACCCAAGCACAAGTCATTCAATGGTCTCTTCTCCCCATCTTCAAAGGTTAGGATTACTTTATTGGGGAGATAGGACATCTTCATTTCCCAGGGTGCTCTGGGACAGGAGATGGAGAGAAGATAACCTGGTAGCCAGAACTCCCTTGATGCACCACAATGAAGAATAAGGACAGGACTACATTTCCCCTGATGCTTTGGGGTATACTTCCCAGGATGCCTTAGGACTGATGAAGAAGAAGCCAAGACTACCAACTCAGTGGCATTCCTGGAGCACAGTAGTAAAGAATTCATGTTTGCCATGAGTTACTGAGGCAGCCATGGAGACCAATGGGGCTTTATGGCTACTGAAAAATGTATCAGGGTACAGGTAAAGGGCAGTTTTTAAATTTTTAACTTCCTCCAATCACATATCACCACTTGTCACTATGGTGGCTTAAAGAAATGAAGTCTGTATCTTAAATTCTTAAATGTGAAGAATGACCCTGTGACTGCTTTGACCAATAGGGTATGGTGGAAGGTAAGCTGGGCCATACTCTGGAACCAGACTTTAAGAAACTCAAGTGGTTCCTCTGCCTGCCTCACAAGCACAAGGTTCTGAGTTTGATCCCTGGTACCAAAAAAAGAGAAAGTCATTCTTCTACTTCTGCCATGCTGTGAGGAAGCCCAGGCTTCTCAGACACAGAAGCCGCATGGACAGAGAGCCCCAGTGTTATCAGCCATGTTAGCTCAGGCACCAGACAAGTGGATGAGAGAGCCACCGTAGCCATGCTGCCCTAGCAAATAGAATCCAGAAAAGAAGCTAGAGCGTAACGGTGCATGCCGGTCATTCCAGCACTCTGGGAGGCTGAGATAGGAGGCTCACAAGTTCAAGCCCAAGACAAGGCAACATAGTAACACCCTGTCTCAAAATAAAAAGTAAAAAAGGGGATTGGGGATGTCGTTTGGTGCAAAGGCCCTGGGTTCAGTCTTCCTGGTACAGATACGCACGCACACGGAGGGGGATCAAAAACCCCAGCCATATTGGTGCCTGAGGGCTTCTTTAGTAAATTACTATACACTTAGCAATTAGATGGCTTTGAGTGTCAGAAACTTACTCTCTCACAGTCCAGGAGCTAGAAGTCCAAAGCCAAGATCTTGGCAGAGCCATGCTTCGTCTAAAGCCTTCTGCAGAGAGTTCCTTCCTTGTGTCTTCCTGATTTCTCATGGTTGCCAGGATTCATGGCATTCCTCGGCTTGCAGCTCTGTCACTCCACCGCTGCCTGTCTTTAAGGGTGGTTGTGTTCCCCAACTCACCACAAAGACATTCACGGTAACGGATCTAACCTATTAATGTAACCATCATCACAGTCACATTTGCCAAGATTCGACTTCCAAATAAAATCGCGTGCTTACTTAGGTACTGGGGGTTAAGGCTTCAACATATTTTTGAGAGGGGGAGATGAACACCCACACCGCTGAGCCATAGCCAGGACGAAGGCCTCAAATACACGGCCCCAGACGCGCTGTTTCAACCAATTCATTTTGGCACCAGTCCCAAACCTTTTCTTTAACTCGTCGCCGTATTCTCAGTGCCTGGAATATCCCTGACACATGGCAGATGCTGAGGAAAGAAGGGAGGAGGGAAGGAAGTAAAGGAAGCCTGCATCTTTGATGGTGCCTTCCAACAAAAAATGAGCCAGGACTGTATTTTTCCAAAATGTCCTACAGCAGACAGAGGCTAAGATGACATTTCTAAGATGCTCTATATTTAAATTTCGGATGATTTCACCTTTCCTCTGATCTATACAGATATTGAGGTTAGGGATGCACCTCCCGTGACGCCTAACGGTGGCGATCAGAGGATAAAAGTACCTGTCCCATGGGTCCGTCCAGCAGACATTGAGGCTAGGGACAAATTTCTCACCATGTCCTGGTCCACAGTCTGTGGTCAAGCCCTCACTGTTAGTGGCTCCTGAGATTTTATTCAAGGATCTCTGGTTGCAAGAAATAAAATCTGTTTATGCTGACTTAGGTGAAAATGATGTTATTGGAAGTTTAGAATCCAAGCAACACCTAGGTCTCCAGGTCTTACTGTGGGCAGAAGGCAGAGCTGAAAGGCTGTGTGAAATCAAAGCTGTCTCCCTCTGGTGAGTCAATCTCACCTCTGTACTCTTTCCTCTTCTCTCCTCTCCTTTCTTCTCCGTCCCGCTTCTAATCCCGATCTATCCCTATTTCTCCTTTCATCTCCCTGCCGGGCTTCTGTGATAGTTTGGATCTGGAATGTCCTCCAAAAGGTTCATATCCCAGAGGTTGGGTTTTGAGAAGCAATTGTATCACGGGAGGCAATATACTCACCAGTGCATTCATCCACTGAAGAAGCCAAAGCTATGCGTGCTGTTAGGAGGTGGGGCCTGGTCAGAAGAGGCAGGTCACTGGGGGCGTGACCTGGAAGCTTGTGTCTCCTGCCCTAGTTGGTCCCTTCTCTCTCTGTTTCCTGGTGGCCATGATTTGAGCAGCTCTCTTCAGCTAGACCTTTCCAGCATGCCCTTCCTGAATCTTTTAAAAACTGTGAGCCCAAATAAATCTCTCCTCCTTGAAGTCGTAGGTGTTATGTATTTTATCCCAGCAACAAGGAAAGCAACTAAGACAGCTTCCATTTTATTTACCTGTCTCTTTACAGTCTACCTTCTTCTCTTTCATACACAGTAGAAAAATACACCCACGGAAATGTTCCATTCCAAGAACTACTTGAGTCTGGTAACTAAAAATTTCATCTGGAAGACTCTGAGTCCAGTTTGAGTGAAATCTCTGCTCACAGCTTCCTCTGCTAGGGCCAGAGAAGTTCACATCAAAGCAATCACATACAGTAGCTCAAGTCAAACACAAGCATCCACTGCTCCTGCAGTTCTCACAGTACACAGCCCACTCTGCCAGAGCCAGAGAGCCTGTCCCAAGGATCAGGAACCAACTGCTAAAGAAAGTTTCTGTCACTTAGATTTTTTTTTTTTCCAGTACTGGGAATCGAATCCAGGGTCTTCTCACTGAGATACATTCCAGCCATTTTTATGTTTTATTTTGAGGCAGGGTCTCATTAAGTCACCAAGTTGCCCGAGTTGGGCTCAAATTTGTAACCCTCCTGCTTCAGCCTCCCAGGTGCTGGGATTGCAGCCTTTCACCACCACTCCCCACCTTGAGACTAGCTCTTTTGGTTAGTTTGCCTGTCTTTTTCTCTGCCCTGAGGAGTCACGCGTGGACCCAGCCCCAGCAATGTCTGCCAGGCATCTTGTAACACAAGGGGATCAGCCACCCTTGGGACTGAGAGATGGACAGATTTCACTGAAGCCAGCCAGCTGCCACACCTAGGACTTTGGCACGTGAATAGCTCTTTTTCTCTGAGCCAGCTGAGTAGGATTTGCTGTCATGTACACTAAAACTCTAATGAGCAGACTGCTCTGGGGTGCAATGGAGACAGGACCAGCACTGTCCTGGTGTCCTCATATAGAAGAGATGAGAAGATCCAAAGATGACAGAGGAGAATCAAATTCACATCTCCCAGGGTGTCTCACAGTGGGGGAGAGAGATGTGCGTTAGAACCCCGAGAGAGGTGGCCTCTTGGTTCCTGTGTCAAAGGACAAATGTAGCTATGCCCTTGCTCACGGTTTGAATATGAGTTGGGGGTGTTTCCCAAGGCTTGGGCTGAAATTTAATCCCCATCATGAGGTATTATAATCCAACTATTGTGTTTAGAGGTGAAGCCTTTGGGGTTGATTAGGATTAGATACAGTCATCGGGGTGCAGTCCCTAAGATGGAATCCTGGTGACTATATAAGAAGAGAGAGAGACCAGAAGAGGCACGTGTGTTCCCTGTCTCTTGCCACCTGACACTCTGTGCCACCCGGGGACTCTGCCAGCAAGAAGGCCATCACCAGATGGGGCCCACTGACCTTGCCAAAATAAACCTCTTTCTTTACAACTCACATAGGCTGTGACACTGTGTTATTGGCAACAGAAAATGGACTAGTACAACCCTGCGCCAATATCCCAAATGCAGGTCAAGTAATCCTCTCTTACCTGGCCTGAGTCACAGAATTTGAGCCCTGGAAGGAGCACTACAAAAGCGAGTATGCTAAGAACGGAAAAGGAAAGAAGCTGCTCAGAATTGTGGCGCATTCCTGTAATCCCACAACTCAGGAGGCTGAGGTAGGAGGATCACCACAAGTTCGAGGGCAGCCTGGGCTACATAGTGAATTCAATGCCAAGGCCAGCCTAAACTATGTAGCAAGGCCCTATCTCAAAAAGAAAAAAACAAAACAAAACAAATTTTTAAAAAAGTTGGTCGGAGCCATGATCCTGAAGACACATGGGTTTGGGTGGGAACTTCAGTCCAGAAGACGGGATTCTGGGAGCTGGGCACTGGACAGAAAAGGTGTTGGGTGCATAAGTCCTTTAGTGGGGCTGGATATAGGACCGTTTAATAGCGATGGAGATAAACAGTAAGGATTTTAAGAATTGGTACACTGGACTTCGGTTTCCCTGATTGTCACCTGAGAGGTTGAGGTCTCCATGGTGCATTACTCTTCCTGGGCCCTACAGGTGATAATTCTAAACCAGGTCTTCAGGCTCTTAAGAAGTGGATTTGGGGGGAAAAAAACCCTCCCCGAAGGAAGAAGGGTGAAGTAGGGAGGGTGAGACAGACACAAAGATGGGGCAAGAAATGGAAAGAAAGGGCAAAGATGCACAGAAAAACCGGGACACAGACTGGGCAGGAAGGAAGGGAGAAGGGTGCGGAGCAAGACGCCAGGCTTGGGAGGTGTCCCCAGGAGTCTCCCCTCCCTGGGCCCCAGCATCCAAGCTTCCTTCCAGTCCGTCGGCTTAGCTTTCAGGGGCCCCTCCTCAAGGGAAGGAGGCGGAAACGA